ATTCTAGAGTTTTTCCCCTGGAAGTTGCCATACAACAACTATAATAGCTGCCAGGAAGCAAACTAGAAATAAGTTTTTATGTTTGGTTTAATAAAGATTTTTCTTACGAAATCTAATAATAAGAAGAGATTAATCATTCTAGTTGGCACAAAAAGAGATGTGATGAAATTGCCACGTTTCTGGATTGGTGACACTAGACAACTAGATATAAACGCAAGTGCACACTACTAAGGAAAACTCTAGTAGTAGCGCTGGTTTTATAGCTACTAGTAGCACTTGTACAAGTGCTATCAGTAAGGCGCTACAGCTAACTGGTAGCAGTAGCGCTGGTTTTGCAGCGCTACTGCTATACCAAATTAGCAATAGCGCTTGGTAGGGAAAAGTGCTACTGATAATAGTAACTAGCAGTAGCGTTTCTTTTGAAAAAGCGCTACTGCTTATTTTTCCTGTATTTTTAAAAATGCAGCTTATTTTCACTGTATTTGTATTGGTTTTATATACAATATATACAACAATAGGTGAAATACTTGGACCTAATCCACATTCTATCATGATCAACATCATCGTCATATTAATATAAAAACTCTTGCATTATATCATCACCAACAACACTAGCTAATAATCATCAGTCATTACCACCAACACTATTTAATCATCATAGTCATAGTGTACTATCTAATCACCACCAACACTAGTTAATAATAATCATCATAGTCATTATCGTCAATACTAGCTATTTAATCATCATAGTCCTAGTGTAGCACACATCATCATCTTCAAACTCATTTTAGCTAGCTAATCACTCTTGCCACTCTCTCTCAGGTTAAATAGCATAAAACATGTGTAGCACTCCTGCTTCATCATATTAAAGAATGCAGATGAACCTGTCTCCTAATTGTGGGTTGCACTTTTGGTTGTTGCCCCTAGTACTTCTCTGCTATGATTCTTCGCAATTTTGTTCCAATCTTTGACTATTAAGACTTGCTCGCTTTGAGAAATCATGAATTCACGCTGTGTAATGTAGGATGTCTTGGCCGTAAGCTAACCATTGTCACGCGACCTTTAGGCTCTATCCAACGAGGCACAACATTCATCAGGAGTCCCTGTTGAAGAACATCATAATAGCATACTTAGCAATGAAGTTTAGCTTAAAAAATGTATGCAAAAGATGCACTGAGGACAAATAGTAAAAATCTTACCATCTTTCCTAAATAATGTGACCGTAGTGGTCACACGTTTTGAGTACTAATATTTCGAAGTCCAGGAAAATAACCTGTCTTGACAGTATCAAGATCCTCAAGCCATGGAACATAATGACTTATCTCCTTGCAGTTTAGTTCAACCCCGGAAGAGTAGTAGGTGCTGTCTACCAAGCGCCGGACATGTTTGCTTAAATGGAAATAAGCTGTCAATAGAAATTAGTTGTCAATTATTTTTAAATTGACAATATAAATTACTTAACAAATATGGTTGAAAAACTCACATAATGATAGAACTGGAGGCGTCTGCACATCGACCCAGATGTCGATATTACCTTCAATTTCATCTTCCGAACAAATATCAAAAGTGATAAGCATATTAGGCTCAAATGCATAAGCCTTGCATAGTGATCTCCAATTTTTGCATTCAAAATAGGAGTAGGTGTCTGCATTGTATAATTTTACGGCAAAAGTATAACCATACTCGGTCCTCAAGTGAACTCTCTTTACCTCCATACTTTCCATAGTACTGAAACCGATCTTATCCAAGACATAAATTCTTGCATGGCACGGGATACACTAGTAGAATAGTAAAAAATTAAAATTATAAGTTGAAGCAAAAGTAATAGAAGTCATGCTTAATTACGAAAAAGACTTGTCATTGTGACTTACTGTATCCACTTCGAAGTTCTCATCTAACATGATGCTCACCAACTAGGTGAGGCCTGTCGCACAGGTCACGCTCGTCTTTGCAGTATTCGCACATAATGAATTCCCTTTCGTTGTCAGACATTTCCTATGTTCATAGTTGAAACATTAATTGAAAATCGATCGAAGGCAACTATCAGGAAACTCAACACATAGATCACTATTACTCAATATGCAACGGGTTGACATTAGGTTTGTCGAGTCTTTCTTCCTAAGCTCTCATCTCATGTATATGGTGGGCACTCCCTCTCTGATATTGCGATCGTCGGTGATGGTCGCTACTCCTCCTTTCCCTAGTGTATTACAAATATCTAGCACAAGGAAAAGAAGGAGAAGCGACCCCTATGACAACAATCGGCTTTCTTCTTCTCTCATATATGATGGACACTCCCTCACCAATTTTTCGACCGTCGATGATGGTCACTACTCCTTCTTTCCCTAGTGCATAACAAAGGTCTAGCACAAAGAGAAGAAGGAGAAGAGACCCCCACGACAACAGTTAGCATTCTTCTTCTCTCTTATATGGTGGAGACTCTCCCTCGCTGATTTTTTGACTGTCATGTATGGAGCCCCGACAGACTTAAAGTCAACTCGAAATGTCGTTTAATTCTCTTTCTAGAAAATCCGGAGCACTTGATATTTCCTACATATTCTAGCACAAGTCATGCTTAAATTCATCGAAAAATCCGGCATGACCTTTGCTAAAATAGGACATATGGAGCGCCTGAAATTTGCCAGAACGGAAATGAATCAACACTCCGGCAAAACATAGGCCACTCGGATTCTCCCTGCGATACAAAGATGTCCATACACATACAACGTGGCATTTCAATGGTTCAATATTGACAAAAACATTTCAATATATCTTATAACCTGAACATTTCATTTGGTTAAGAAGCATAACTAAATACCCTAGTTGTACTCTATTCAACACTGAGGAGTACAGAAGGAGGAGGTGGACTTTTAGCTCACCAACTCGGGTGTAGAGGAAGTAGAGGTAGCTCAGATGACGTTCACTCCAAGGAGACACGACTCCACAAAGCCTACATATTCCACCGAGTAAAATTTTAGATCATCAAATCTCATATAGCATTCTTTGATGACAAAGTGATTATGACATAAAAATAATTAAATTTTCCAATACATTTCTATATTGAAAAACAAAATTACAAAAAATTTCTATACCTAAATTTTCTTACTAAAAATTTTTCTTATTAAATTTGATACCTAAAAATTTCTCATATAGCATTTCAATAGATTTCTATAATTGAAAATTTTCTATACCTAAAAAGTTATATTACTAAAATTTTCTATTAATAAAACTTTTGTATATTCAAAAAACCTATTCACTAGTCTATTAAGCACTTACTATAAATAAATTAGTTCTATTAACCACTTATTATAAATAAACTAGTTCTATTAACTACTTACTATAAATAAACTAGTTCTATTAACCACTTCCTAAATAAACTATTTCTATTAAACACTTACTAAAAACATCCTAGTTCTAGCCCTAACATTTACTAAAAATACCTTGTTCTAACCCTAAAAATTGAAAAGACCTATACATTTACTAAAAATACCCTAGTTCTAGCCCTAACATCCATCCATCTGTCCGTCCATCCATCTATCTACATTCTATTCCATTTGAAAAACATTAAAAAAGAACCTACAATCTACAAGAACAGAGGGAGGAGGGAGGTAGGAGGGAGGAGGGAGGGAGGGAGGAG